CACAGCAGAATGAAACACTGCCCGATCCCGCACCAGCCCCACAATCCCCGCTATACTTGATCCCATCATTGCAGCCACCGTGTCAATCCATCTCACTGAAGGCCTCCCCCTCTTTCGTCAACCCTCCACCTTACCAAGCATGACATCCTTCTCCAGGGAATGGTCCCTTCTTACAACATGACCAAAATAGGTGAGACGAAGTCTGGCCATTCTTGCTTCCAAGGAGTATTCCGGCTGCACTTCCTCCAGGACAGATCTAGTCTGTATTAGGTGAGGGATAAACTGTTTGGATTATGTATGTTGTTGTCTTTTCCCATTGAGTTGATTCTGACTCATGACAACTTCATGTGTTACAGAGTAGAACTGCTCCATAGGGTTTTCTTCATTCTAATGTTTACAGAAACAGTTGGCAGGACTTTTCATCCACAGTGACACTGGGTGAGTTTGAACAAATAACTTTTTGGTTACCAGCCAAGTGGAAACTTTTTCACCATTTGGTGACCTAATTGGAATATATACATATCAGTGAAATAGGGAAAGACCCTCAACAAGATGGAGTGACATGGTACCTTCAATGACGGGCTCAAGCATAGCAAGGATTGTGAGGATGGTGCAGGAGTGGACAGTTTTATTCTGTTGTACATAGGGTCACTATAAGTCAGACTTAACTTGATGGCACCTAACAACAGCAAGTGTGTGTGTGTGTGTGTGTGTGTGTATGCATACATCTATATGTATTCACACACATCTATGTGTATTATGCATTAATACAAAAGAAGTCCTAAGAAAATGAGGAATTCCCTTAGTTGTATGTTTCCTGTAGCATAGTGCCTAAGCCACTTGACTGCTCACCAGAAGGCTGGTGGTTCAAACCCACCAGCCACTCCTCGGAAGGAAGGTTGGGCAATCCTACTTCCGTAGTGATACTGCCTCGGAAACCCAAGGAGGGGTCACTATGAGTCGGGCCGACTCGACGGCAAACAACAACAACAACATGTTTCCTTTTAACCAGAAGGCTGACGGTTCAAACCCCCCTGCCACTCCCAGGAAGGAAGGTTGAGCAATCTACTTCCATAGAGATACCTCCTTGGAAACCGAAGGAGGGGTCGCTATGAGTCGGATCTGACACAATGGCAGTGAGTTTGGTTTTGGGCTTTTTCTTGTCCCTGAGGGTGTTTTCAGACTAATACCTGTGTTTCTACTAATACCTATAAATCAAAACAAAACCCAGTAGAGTTTATTTAAACTCATAGAAACCCTATAGGAGAGAGTATAAAACTATCCCATAGGGTTTCCAAGGCTATAATCTTTATGGATGCAGACTGTCACATCTTTCTTTAGCAGAGCAGATGCTAGGTTCAAACTGCCACCTTTTCAGTTAGCAGCTGAGCCATTAACCACTGTACCATCAGAGCTCCTTAAGAATACCTATACTGACATACTGACCTCTGGTGGTGCAGTGCCTAAGGCATTTGATGGCTAACCAAAATATTGGTGGTTCAAACCCACCAGCCACTCTGTAAAAGATGGGGCAATCTACTTCTGTAAAGATTTACTGCCTTGGAAACCTAAGGGGGGTAGCTATGAGTCTGAAATGACTTGACAGCAGTGGGTATACTGACTTAGAGATATTTCACAGATAAGCACAAGAATGTCCACTGACACTTGTGGGGATGAGGATGAGGATGCCCTCCCACACCTGTGTAGATGAGGGTGCAGATTCCTACCTACTCCTGTGGATGCCCATAATATACCTGTGTGGCCAAGCACAAGTTTACCCATCCACAACTGTGGGGATGAGAACATGGAAGCTCACCCACTTCTGTGGGGATGAGGGTAAGGATGCTTCCTGCACACCTGTGAAAACAAGGATGAGGATGCTCACTACTTACCTTCAGGGATGAAGGAAATGATGCCCACCCACATCTCTGTAGGCAAGCATGAGGATGCCCACTTCACACCTGTATGGAAGCAAACCCTCTTAAAAGAGACAGGTGCTGCTGAGCTCAGAGCAAGTCTCCAAGGGGAGCCTCCAGAACAGAAGAGGACTGGAGGCAGCCCTGACTCTGGCAGGTTGGCTGTGAGTGCTGCTGTTTCCATTTGGCTGGAAGGCAGAGCACTAGAGCAGTAGTCTGTTGAGACAACTGCCTCAGTGCCCTTTAACAGGATAACTGAACAAGGATTCCCCTAAGAGGTGATCAAAGCCCAAGGAGATGCTTTAGAATTTACCACACTTAGGGTAAACTAACAATCCCAGGCTTGTCCCCGCACCCCAGCAATCTCCTCACTGAGGGCTGCATAGGCCCCTCACAGTGTACAAACTCCAACCATCCTAGTTGGGAAAGAAAGAGGAGAAAAAGAATTTATGTCAAAAGCCAGCTCTGGTATTTAAAATTCTGGCTCCACCATCTGCTAGTTGGGTTAAAAAATAACACTCTCATTCAAAAATTGTTGCACCATGTTGTTCTTATTGTTAGGTGCCGTAAACTTGATTTCAAGTCTTACAACTCCATGTGACAATATGGACATATGCCCCATATGGTTTCCTAAGTTGCAATCTTATGTAATAAACCACTATTGCCTTCAGTGTGGATTACACATTATCATAAAAAAACAAAAATTCTTACAAATGGATCAATAAGAAACAACATAATAAATGGAGAAAATACTGAAGTTATCTTTATTTTACTTGGATCCACAATGACTATGGAAGCAACAGTCAAGAAATCGAATGACATATTGCATTGGGCAAATATACTGTAAAAGACCTCTTTCAAGTATTAAAAAGCAAATAAATCCCTTTGAGGACTAAGGTGCTCCTAACCCAAGCCATGATATTGTTAATTGCCTCATATGCATGGGAAAGCTGAATGATGAGTAAGGAAGACCAAAGAAGAATTGATGTTTTTGAATCATGGTGTTGGCACATAACAACAACAACAACAATGAGGAAATGGTGGAGAAGCCTCCTGCCTACTAAACATACTAAACATCATAGAAAGTGTTCCTAGGCCTAGGGTAAATGAAACAAACCTGAGAGAGGATGAAGAGGAAGGAAATGTTTCCCAGTATCTGCACTACCTTCCCCTCACCTGCTGTAACCAGATACCAGCAGCTGAGCTTAAAGGGCTAAGTACTGGGGACAATGATAAGAGACAGAATTCACTTAAGGAGCAATTGGGTCAAAAAGAGGAGGCAAAACTTGGGAAGGGAAAAACAACTAAGGATGACATTCTAGTATTTCATTTGGCTGCATTAGAACAGACTAAGTTTAGGTGTTTTTTTAACACGTTCAACCTTATGAAATGTATCTATCATCTTTAGTAGCAAAACAGAAAGACACTAAGAAAATAATGTATCTCGATCTTTGTCTTTCTGAGAAAATTTGACTTTGTCCCTTCTGCTGCCTGCTCTGTGGGGGCACCCTTACCAGGATGGTCTCCTGACCTGCATGCACCACCAGCCTCCTGGCCCATGAACAACTGCAAAGCCCTTTTCTCCACTCTCCTCACTTAGCTTCTCCTTCCAGAAACATGTCTGGTGTTGGGAAACCCCCTTAATCTGGAGCATCCTACTGAGCTTGGAAAGTAGGATATGGCCTTCATTTGACCCATGGGTCCCAAAGCACTCACTTGTAGATACCCTGCGAAGTTCTGCTCAGTGTCACCTGCAAAACATGCTGGAGCCTCCAAAACACTCTCCCTTGTACTCAAAACATGACCATACTTCTTCCAACTTCTTTTTTTTTTTTTTTTAATTGTGATTTGGG